CTGGTGTATCGATTGTCAAATCTGAGGACTCTTGAGATCATCTGAAACGTCCAAAGAGACATTGTTGCCGGTTCTCAGAGGCCTGCTCATCTCCATCGCTAAAATCCTGTGTGTCCTCTGCCTCATTTGCAGCAAAGATGTGATCCAAAGCTTTATTTACAGTGAATCTTCTCCTTATTGTTGCATCCTGTGAATTGGCGATGTGTACTCCTCAAGTCACCACCTCTACACTCAAATGGCTTGACAAGCCTGGACATGTCTCCCTTTGTTTGTTTTCGCAAAAAGGCAAAGACAAAAAGGCCCTAAATTAAGCTCAAGTGGTTGGAGGAAGAGCCTGTTGGTTGATTGTGTGTTCATGATTACATTTTAGGCATTTTTTTTATTGTTTTATAATCAAAAATTGTAACCGGGTCACAAATGACCCGAACACCACAAAAGTCATTTTTTTCACCAGAGCACTTTATAATTTAGTAAAAAAATAAAATTTGATTTTACTTTGTTAAAATGGAAGTCCTTGACAAAGTCAAAAAGTTTCAATGCAAAAAACAAATGTATGATGTACTTTTATGCATGCTAAAACTCAAAACGGGTCCGTAGGGACCCTAACACCATAGGAAGGTATATCGCATGCCCCATTGAGTGGTGATTTTTTTTTTCACAGTGAAGAAGATATGCATATATAATTATGCATTAAAATAACATCATTTACTAAATAAAACGTATAAAACGTGCAGACAGCAGGAGGAATGATCTATGACAGGCATGTCCAAAGTGGGTCCTCAAGGGCCGCTGTCCTGCAGGTTTTAGAGGTTTCTTTGCTTCAACATAGCCGATTCTGATGAATGCAGTTCAGCAGAAGCCCGTTAAGTTATCAGTGGAAATCAGCTGTGCTGAAGCAGGGAAACCTCTAAAAGCTGCAGGACAGCGGCCCATGAGGACCCACTTTGGACATGCCTGATCTATGATAAAGCCCTGTCTTTTACTAATGGAGCTCTGTAGCTTTATGCATGTGCTGGGAGAATTAGTTCACCAGAGATTATTTTTGCTACAGTCCTGCTGTCTTCAACCACATGCACGAGGTCCGGGGAGCATCTTAGGGCAGAGCTGGTCTTCCCGATGAGCTTATCTCATTTCTTTCAGAGGTAGATAAGCTGATGATCCAACAAACCAAACCATAAAAATGGCTGATAGTACCAAAGTGAAAGAAAGGTCCTCAGGAGCGCACCCTGCAGTCCAAATTATCTCATTTCTTAGACCTTATTAGTCCATTATCTGAGCATCAGTTCCCTGCTTGTTCATCTGAAGCACTGTGGTAGGTCTGTGCCCTCAGAATCTGCCACCTGCTCCTTAGTTTCCCCAACATGTAAAACAGAGCAGCTGCGAGGAATTAGCTTTACTGTCACAATAGCTTTAGAGAGCAGCATCAGATGTTTTTTGTTCAAATTAATATTTTAAAATGCTTTGCAAACATTACTTGCCTTTGGTCAGGTGACAAATGAAATAAAACTTTGTGCATTTGTTTGTCTTAAGTCAAGCTACTGTCTGGCAAAATCAAGTTTTAAGTCAGGCTGTAGCTTTTATATCTGGGTTTTATAACTAGGACATTTTAGAACAAATATACTCCGTTCTAACAATCCCATGGTAGTTTTGGCTTCATGTTTAGGTTGATTTCCTGCTAAATCTCAAGCTTTGTCTAAATCTTCTGTCTTTTCCAGCCTTTAGTAAGTTTTCTTCCAGGATTAACTTGTATTACTTGCTTCTCTTTCTAAAGAAAACCATTCCCACTGTTTGATGTTTCTCAACCTGGATGATCTGAGATGTTAGTTTTCCACATGGTGCTTTGAATGTAGCCTAAAAGGTTCTGCATGTAGATATGTTCTAGTGAAGTGATCTTGAATTAACACCTTATTCCATGTTTCCCGTCTTCCCTCTTCTCTGCAGTTCCTCTGATCATTTCCCTCTTTGTTTTGATGGACAGCTCAGTCTTGGCAGATTTGGAGTTGCTGTAAACCAGGGGAGGTGGCAATTCCAGTTCCTGAAGCTCGGTATCCTGCAAATTTTAGATTCACCCTTGATCCAACAAATCTTATTCAGGCGATTCTGGTGTGTTGAACCAACGGCACATCTAAAAGTTGCAGGATATTGTCCATCAGGAACTGGAATTACCCACCCCTGCTCTAAACTCTGTCAGATGATGAAGTTAGGCATAATAAACATAATCACGACCTGTTTGTTTTGTTTTTCTCTGCTCTAATAATTCTCCCCGACCTTCACAGATCAATTTTACCTAAAATGATATTACAACAATTCCCTGGATTTTATTTATTGTATCAATGAGAAGCATTAGCCTGATAAGAACATGGATGTTTTAGGTTGTGATGTGAAAGAATGAGATGAGAGTATGGATGCTTTACAAACAAATGTTCTCAGATGTTCGTCTCTTTTGCACCTTAACTTTGCACTTCCTGCCTCTTAGGTGAACCATTGGATTAATTAATATATTAAGCAATATGGACATTTCTACTTTTTGGTACCTTCAAGATCAAAACAGACACATTCAAACAAAATCTCATATATTGCTTTATTTTATAACTTATAATGAAATAGGCAATTTGATGACATTCTGTATACATTGTGCAAAACATGACAAACAATATAATCAAGTTTTCTTAAATACTCAAGTATGGATTATTAATAACAGCTATATTCCACTAAAATATCCCACTTATAATCTAATATATGTCACGCATCTAAATGGCAAAGCTCAGGATTAGACTTCAATTTAAAGGTAGTTACATTCAAGAGCTCAATCTACAGGCAGATCTGTTTGTTTGCTCTCATTCCCTAAAAGGACCGACTTGTTCATAAGACAAAAGTGAGAAACAATAAATAAAAATCTGCTGGTCAAAATGAGAACAATTTCAGAGAACTTAGGTAAAGATTACCATCAGTGGGAGTCAATACTCCACTGCAGGGAAACATTAGGTCTCTGAATGTGTTTGTAACACTCTTTTCTATGTAGAGTCTAGATTATTTTAATCCAGATTTTGTTATTTTCCCACAAAAATTTAGTGGGGCTATCACTAAATTAGTCTGACAAAAACTAAATCTGTAGAGGAACTCTGATTGACCATTCATAAACAAAACATGTTGATATATGTAGTTTTCTTTACACTCTCCCTTTACACAAACATAAGACCTAAAACAGTGAGTAATAAACACAGTAAACTAGCAGGAAAAAAACGTAAAAAACCTGAGAATAGAAGACATTCTGTGCAAAAGTCTTGAGGGAACCCTAATTTTTTAACATTTTCTTTAAATAAATATGTTAAGCAATAATTATTTGGTGTTTCTGATGATATTTTCAAACAAAATTTTGACTATCAGTTTTTTTTCTTCCAAGATGTAAAAATATTTCAAAGGTGGAGATTCACTTTAAGAAGATTTGAATCCAGGATTAGGATAGCATGATGCTGCCACCACCTTGCCTTACAGTGGAGATTTCATTTTTCCTTCTGTTTTTTTTAACCCTTTATAGGGCACTTAGTGAAAGACTGAAATCTAAGTACGTAATTTTTTCTTAAAATAAGTGCATTTTTTCTTGAATTATTATCTTTGTAACATTAAAAAAATATGGATATTTTGATGGCAAAAATGAATGTAACAAGAAAACAACTTGCCCAAATATTTCAAGAAAAATAACAAAAGTGGGGGACTCCATTTCTAAGGGGTATGCAAGTGATCAAAACCGGTAACTTGCCCAATAAAGGGTTAATTCTTCTTTGCAAAACAGCTAAAATGGTCATATTGAATGGGGAGGGAATAACATCTGTTTATATATATACTGTTATAAATGGTTTTCATGAGTAACACAGTAGAGTTTAGTTTTAAAAAGCAGCATATTTTGAATTCAGGACGCAAAAGTGATTTTTTTCAACAAACGAACTTTCTTCACTTAATTTGTTTTAATCAGGGTTCCTCTTGGAGAGGGAAAATACATATAAACCCTGTATAAGAAAAAAAAAAAAAAAAAAAATTCACCAAAAAGTTGATTCCAAGGGAACAAATATCACTCCAGACTTTTGCACAGCCAGCCTTAGATGCATCTTTTAAAGATAAAAAAGTACAAACACACTATTTGAAAATGTCTATTTACATAGAGCACATGCACGATTAGATACATTATATTCAGAAGAGAATAAAACTATGTACTTGGCATTTTGATATGAAGGTAGAAACTGGGTTTAAAAAGTCAGACTCCTGGAAAAGCCCCAGATAAAACTCAGCATATGATTACAGCACTAATATTTATCCTAGCAGACCCTTTTCACACCAGATTTGGACTCTCTTGTGATCCAGAATCTCAAAAAAATACCTAAATGTCAAGAGATTTGGGCACAAAAACAATAATGCTGCTTCCTATTATCTTATTAGAATGCCAACACAATATGGGAGGTTTCTGCACACTCATAAGATTCAGCCTTAGTAAACTAGCTATCAATATATGTGATATTACCATCTAGTGCAGAGGGACAGAGTACACATCATCATGAAATCTTCTAGAAGGAATCCATCCATCCATGGAGGCGGGGTACATCCTGGACAGGTCACCAGTCCATCGCACGGCAACACAAAGACACACAGGACAAACATCATTCACGCAATTTTCACACCTAAGGAGAATTTAGAGAAGCCAATTAACCTAACAGTCATGTTTTTGGACTGTGGGAGGAAGCTGGAGTACCCAGAGAGAACTCACGCATGCTCAGGGAGAACATGCAAACCCCATTCAGAAAGACCCCAGACCGGGAATCGAACCCGGAGCCTTCTTGCTGCAAAGCAGCAGTACTACCCACTGAGCAGCCCCTCCAGAGGGAATCCTCCATTTAAATAAAAACTGGCTATTTTGTAATAATCAGTGTGAGCTTAATCAATCCAAGTCTGAATCCTTTGGTTAGTTTTAGAAGGTCAAATACAACCATTTTAAAGTATAATCCACCTTTTTTTTTTTTTTTTTTTTTACTCTTTCACCTCCCTCCCCATCAGTGAATACGATCTCAGGTTGTTTTTTTTTTCTGTGACACAAACGACACAAACAACTGCTTAAACATATTGTAGCAACCTTATGAAGGTGTATGTGCTTTTCAGTGGTGGAACTCTAACCTACGTCATAATGAAGCACACACTATGTACAATGTGCAACCCAGGAGATGTTTCCTGCGTTCAGGCAGGTTTTTAATGCGTCACATGGTCTTACTCCGGTGAGAAGAGGGCCTACAGCTGAGAAATGGTTAAAACCTCCCACTGTCATCTCATAATGAGAAGTTAAGTGCACCTATGGTTGGGTGTTTCTCAGTAATGAGGTTCACAGTCTTCCACGAGGCTGTCAGTGATGTAATTGATGTGTAGCACCTCCTGGAAATACTCTTTCTCCAATTTAGTGTTGATGGTCCAGGCTACAACCTCCACTCCCCGTTGAGCCCAGTACTGGATATAATTCCTGCAGACAGTAAAAACGGCCCATTGGTAACAGCATGATAAGCAACAGTGCTGTGCCAACATTCAGACCCTATAAGGATCAGCTTCAGCGCAAATGTTCAATTATACAAAATGGAGGGAAAAAAAAGGGCCAAATGAAACTCACTGTGATACAAAGTTCTTCTGTATCAGGAAGGCCGAGACGCCGCATAGCTTCCACAACAGGTGGTGATGAGCCCAGTCCAGCAGGATGTCCATCATGGTCATCCAGTGATGTTTCCACATGGATGAAAAACGTGGGGTACCGTCACCGAGAGTGCTCAGGCTCCACGGTCTGTGGGTCAACGCTGTGAGCACTTCAGGGTCGCTCTGCCTCATCTGGACAAAGGAAACAAATTAAATGTTTCCTCAGGTCTGAATTACAGCAGCAGCAGTGCTTCATCTCGTTTTAAAATACATACATGTATACCAACTGAAAGCTGGAGGTCTGGAGGACAACTTCCGGATTATGGAGCTAAAGAGTCGATGTTCCAGGTCTTTTCAAAAGCTGATTATTTTCCTTCGGCAGGGCTGAGAGACTTTAACTTACCCTACACTTTTTTCGCCCCCAAATTGTTTTTTTTTCTTCATTTTTCTTCAGGTATTCTCAGCAACCCCATCCTCAAATTAAAATAAAAGCAGTTTCCTTAAAAGATAAACTTGTTGTATTTTAGATCCTCCATTTTAAGAAGGTTGCAGTTTATCAGGGAAACTTGTACAATATTTTATTCTGCAGCTTAAACTATCTACTGATAGTCCCAGTTTGCTCAATTCATGCATTACAGACAAGGGCCAAACAAAATCTAAATGGGAGCTGCAAACGGCCCCTTGGTAATACTCTGGTCATTCTTCCCCAATCCATCATGATAACTGCTGCAGATGAGTGAGGAAGGCGATCATGGTAGGTTTCTGATTGTAAATCAGTGCATATCTGATAATAATCCTTATAAAGGTTTTCTATCCGATTGGTTTCCTGCATGCTGGCCACTTGTTAAGATTATTCTACTGGTATGACCTTGAACAGCTCTTTGATTTACCAGTCTGCAGTTCCAGTCTTTATTTAGACTAGTTTAGTTTCTCTCTCCTACCACTGAGTAATGCTTGTTTATAACTCCTTAGATCTTGGGTTGACTAAAAATAAGGCTGCTCTGACAGCTACATGTAATCAGGATTGACCTTAATAATTTGCTGTAGTCAATATTTCCGCACAATAGTTCTAGCTTATTTCCTCCAAACTTCAGTGTGGAGTTAAACCTCCTGGCTGTCTATGCGTTTGCATAATTCTGTGTGTGCGCTTTTGCTGCCTCGAGCAGCTGTATATATATATATATATATATAAAAAAAAAAGGCAAGCAAAGCAGCTGTTTCACTGTCAAAAAAGATGGGGTGCAAAACAGTAAAGTGACATTACACAGAAAAAACATGATGCATTTTGAGTGTCTGAAGAGGGACTTAACTCAGGGAGCGCTGATGATCAGAGATAAAAGCCAAATGTTTTCTTTAAAGATCCTGGATCTGATCTAAAGTTAGCCAGTTTGTCCCTCTACTGAGTTGTCTGACCAATAGATGTTTGCAGAAAGCGTTAGACGCCCCTGCAGTAATTAAATCTATTTTATTGTGTTTATTGACAACCAATGATTTTACTAATACCCCATTTCAAATCAAGTTAAGTTTTGTTGACATTTTTGTGTTCAGATCTAAAGGAGTCATATTTGAGCCAAAGAAACACAAAACAAGTTTAATAGGTAAACCGCATGGAAAAATTAGTCTCTATTGGACGTCCAGTTAAGGGTTTAACAGAGAGACTTTCCTTAGAACTGACAAGCCCAGTTTTGTTTATTTCATCGAGTTTATAAAGTGCCAAATTACATCAAATATCATCTTAGGTCATTTGACCAGATTTAAACATCAGCATCTCAGAGGAAAAAGTCTTTGTAGAAATCAGGACAACCTGAGCTACATTTAGTTTCCCACTGAGATAACCATACTGACCATTTTCTAAAATCACAACATGTAGAAGTTTTACTGCATATAGGAGGAGAATAGAGGAGCAGTCTGCACAGCTCAGGAAGAGGGGCAGTCTGCACAGCTCAGGAAGAGAATAGAGTGGCAGTCTGCACAGCTCAGGAAGAGAATAGAGTGGCAGTCTGCACAGCTCAGGAAGAGAATAGAGGAGCAGTCTGCACAGCTCAGGAAGAGAATAGAGGAGCAGTCTGCACAGCTCAGGAAGAGAATAGAGGAGCAGTCTGCACAGCTCAGGAAGAGAATAGAGTGGCAGTCTGCACAGCTCAGGAAGAGAATAGAGTGGCAGTCTGCACAGCTCAGGAAGAGAATAGAGTGGCAGTCTGCACAGCTCAGGAAGAGAATAGAGGGGCAGTCTGCACAGCTCAGGAAGAGAATAGAGTGGCAGTCTGCACAGCTCAGGAAGAGAATAGAGTGGCAGTCTGCACAGCTCAGGAAGAGAATAGAGGAGCAGTCTGCACAGCTCAGGAAGAGAATAGAGGAGCAGTCTGCACAGCTCAGGAAGAGAATAGAGGAGCAGTCTGCACAGCTCAGGAAGAGAATAGACGAGCAGTCTGCACAGCTCAGGAAGAGAATAGACGAGCAGTCTGCACAGCTCAGGAAGAGAATAGAGTGGCAGTCTGCACAGCTCAGGAGGTGAATAGAGGAGCAGTCTGCACAGCTCAGGAAGAGAATAGAGGGGCAGTCTGCACAGCTCAGGAAGAGAATAGAGTGGCAGTCTGCACAGCTCAGGAGGTGAATAGAGGAGCAGTCTGCACAGCTCAGGATGTGAATAGAGGAGCAGTCTGCACAGCTCAGGAAGAGAATAGAGGAGCAGTCTGCACAGCTCAGGAAGAGAATAGAGGAGCAGTCTGCACAGCTCAGGAAGAGAATAGAGTGGCAGTCTGCACAGCTCAGGAAGAGAATAGAGTGGCAGTCTGCACAGCTCAGGAAGAGAATAGAGTGGCAGTCTGCACAGCTCAGGAAGAGAATAGAGTGGCAGTCTGCACAGCTCAGGAAGAGAATAGAGGGGCAGTCTGCACAGCTCAGGAAGAGAATAGAGTGGCAGTCTGCACAGCTCAGGAAGAGAATAGAGTGGCAGTCTGCACAGCTCAGGAAGAGAATAGAGGAGCAGTCTGCACAGCTCAGGAAGAGAATAGAGGGGCAATCTGCACAGCTCAGGAAGAGAATAGAGGAGCAGTCTGCACCGCTCAGGAGGTGAATAGAGGAGCAGTCTGCACCGCTCAGGAGGTGAATAGAGGAGCAGTCTGCACCGCTCAGGAGGTGAATAGAGGAGCAGTCTGCACCGCTCAGGAGGTGAATAGAGGAGCAGTCTGCACCGCTCAGGAGGTGAATAGAGGAGCAGTCTGCACCGCTCAGGAGGTGAATAGAGGAGCAGTCTGCACCGCTCAGGAGGTGAATAGAGGAGCAGTCTGCACCGCTCAGGAGGTGAATAGAGGAGCAGTCTGCACCGCTCAGGAGGTGAATAGAGGAGCAGTCTGCACAGCTCAGGAAGAGAATAGAGGAGCAGTCTGCACAGCTCAGGAGGTGAATAGAGGAGCAGTCTGCACAGCTCAGGAGGTGAATAGAGGAGCAGTCTGAACAGCTCAGGAGGTGAATAGAGGAGCAGTCTGCACAGCTCAGGAGGTGAATAGAGGAGCAGTCTGCACAGCTCAGGAAGAGAATAGAGGAGCAGTCTGCACAGCTCAGGAAGAGAATAGAGGAGCAGTCTGCACAGCTCAGGAAGAGAATAGAGGAGCAGTCTGCACAGCTCAGGAGGTGAATAGAGGAGCAGTCTGCACAGCTCAGGAGGTGAATAGAGGAGCAGTCTGCACAGCTCAGGAAGAGAATAGAGGAGCAGTCTGCACAGCTCAGGAAGAGAATAGAGGAGCAGTCTGCACAGCTCAGGAAGAGAATAGAGGAGCAGTCTGCACAGCTCAGGAGGTGAATAGAGGAGCAGTCTGCACCGCTCAGGAGGTGAATAGAGGAGCAGTCTGCACCGCTCAGGAGGTGAATAGAGGAGCAGTCTGCACCGCTCAGGAGGTGAATAGAGGAGCAGTCTGCACAGCTCAGGAAGAGAATAGAGGAGCAGTCTGCACAGCTCAGGAGGTGAATAGAGGAGCAGTCTGAACAGCTCAGGAGGTGAATAGAGGAGCAGTCTGAACAGCTCAGGAGGTGAATAGAGGAGCAGTCTGCACAGCTCAGGAGGTGAATAGAGGAGCAGTCTGCACAGCTCAGGAAGAGAATAGAGGAGCAGTCTGCACAGCTCAGGAAGAGAATAGAGGAGCAGTCTGCACAGCTCAGGAAGAGAATAGAGGGGCAGTCTGCACAGCTCAGGAAGAGAATAGAGGAGCAGTCTGCACAGCTCAGGAAGAGAATAGAGGGGCAGTCTGCACAGTTCAGGAAGAGAATAGAGGAGCAGTCTGCACAGCTCAGGAAGAGAATAGAGGAGCAGTCTGCACAGCTCAGGAAGAGAATAGAGGAGCAGTCTGCACAGCTCAGGAGGTGAATAGAGGAGCAGTCTGAACAGCTCAGGAGGTGAATAGAGGAGCAGTCTGAACAGCTCAGGAGGTGAATAGAGGAGCAGTCTGCACAGCTCAGGAGGTGAATAGAGGAGCAGTCTGCACAGCTCAGGAAGAGAATAGAGGAGCAGTCTGCACAGCTCAGGAAGAGAATAGAGGGGCAGTCTGCACAGCTCAGGAAGAGAATAGAGGAGCAGTCTGCACAGCTCAGGAAGAGAATAGAGGGGCAGTCTGCACAGCTCAGGAAGAGAATAGAGGAGCAGTCTGAACAGCTCAGGAGGTGAATAGAGGAGCAGTCTGCACAGCTCAGGAGGAGAATAGAGGAGCAGTCTGCACAGCTCAGGAAGAGAATAGAGGGGCAATCTGCACAGCTCAGGAAGAGAATAGAGGAGCAGTCTGCACAGCTCAGGAAGAGAATAGAGGGGCAGTCTGCACAGCTCAGGAAGAGAATAGAGGAGCAGTCTGCACAGCTCAGGAAGAGAATAGAGGGGCAGTCTGCACAGCTCAGGAAGAGAATAGAGGAGCAGTCTGCACAGCTCAGGAAGAGAATAGAGGGGCAGTCTGCACAGTTCAGGAAGAGAATAGAGGAGCAGTCTGCACAGCTCAGGAAGAGAATAGAGGGGCAGTCTGCACAGCTCAGGAAGAGAATAGAGGAGCAGTCTGCACAGCTCAGGAAGAGAATAGAGGAGCAGTCTGCACAGCTCAGGAAGAGAATAGAGGAGCAGTCTGCACAGCTCAGGAAGAGAATAGAGGGGCAGTCTGCACAGCTCAGGAAGAGAATAGAGGAGCAGTCTGCACAGCTCAGGAAGAGAATAG